GTCCCACAGGGATGGGCCTGGCTTCTTGCTCCGAGCTTTGTGACCTGGTGTACAAGATTGCATCCTGACCCTTCATCATGATGATGGAGGGGTGGCCGGGCCAAACCCACACTGCCTCGTGACTCTGTGTGCGGGGTCATAATACCACTCACTCACATTAGGCCCAGCCACATCACCTTGGCATGACAAACAGCAAAATCAAGGTACCATAACACTTCCCACCATGACACTTCCAGCCACAAGAAACATACTGACCTTCCTGTAATGAACAGGCAACCTATTGGTTCATCCTTTTCTAACCATTCTTCTGCCTTTCTCAACCCCACAAAAGCTCATGATACCATGTACATGTTTTGTTAGTCTATAAAGTGCTACCAGACCATTTGTTGTTTTTTAAGTTTATCCCCTACAGACTAACTCGGCTACCCCCGAAGCGTCATTCTTTTGCTGTTTGACCAACTCCCTTCTTTTTTTTTTTTTAAACAAGGCTTTTTCCTAGCATGCCAGGTTTACTGATTTGATTGTGATGTGGTTGCCAAGGAAATGACAGTTACTACAGTACCAATATTATGGTTTTGAGAAACTTGCTCATTAGTTATAGCTGGTTCAATTTCTATCTTAAGAAACTTCATATGAGTACATTTAATATTCAGCCTTTCGATTTTCTTTTTTTCAGTTCATTAATTTGAACAGTAATCTCATCCATTTCAGCATTGAGCTGCTATCATGCACTGTCTGGGTAAAATATTCTACTGATAAATCCAATAAAGTCATTTTCCTTACTCTAGCTATTTCAGTTATGAAGCACACGTTACCTTCGCCTTCAATATGCTAAGATGTACCTGCTACGCTAGATGCTGAATACTGACATGAATATGGACTTTCATTTGCGGACTTTCCCATGAAAATCTTCAGTTCTGATCCTGAATTCATTACTTCCCAGGCCAAACTCCCAGGAATAAGAAGCTCAGATCTCCGGATTTTAATTTAAAGAAGATTCATTGTCTTATTTGTTTATATGGTATGGAGCTTTCTTAGGGTTTTTAAACAGATTTTCTACCCTTGCCCCATCTTGGCTTCTTTTTTTCTGTTAAAATTCTGGAAAAATCTGCATTATGATGATTTGATCAGTGAGTTTATGGGAATTCAGTCCTATATATTAATGTGTATTGGTAGCTAGAAACAGGTGCTGTAGCTAAGACATATAATGGGAGTTTTTGTTTTAGCTCTACCAAAAAGCTATCTGTATAATCTTGGGCATGTTGCTTAGGGGGAAACCCTGATCCTATTGAAGTCAATGACAAAGCTCTCTCTGACTGCAGGACACTAGGATTTCAGGCTTGATTTCTCTCTGCACCTTCCAACCTCAGTCTCCATCTGTAAAATGGGTATATTAAAATTCCCATGCCTCACAGAATCTTGTGAGGGTGCAATTTATGAATAAGCATGCAGTACTCGCATGTACCTAAGGGCCTCCTATATCAGCTGGACTATGCTCCTTTGGCAGATGGGACAGTAGTGACTCCACTGCCCAGCACTGAAGGATTTGACCTTTCTAATAATATTACAGCAGTTTTGCCTATCCATTAGAGAATACATAAAAACAGGTGGGCCCTTCTTTTCACTGACTCTGAATAAAACCAGGCTTTTTATGTTGGGGATGCTGAGTCTGTATTATCTCAGTGATTCCCTTGTTTGGTAAGTCCACCTTGGTCCAGCACTATCATAAGCATAATCTTTCTCAATCTAATATTCCTTAGCATTTGTTCAGTGCTTTGTGTGTTCAGGTCTCTACTAGTAACTCCTGATAGCATCCTGCACAGAGAGGACTGTAAGGAGTCCTTGCAAGGTTTGGTTCACAAAGGGGTTGTCTCTATTTCAGACATGCTAAACTTTGTTACAGGGACACAGAGCTGTGATTTGGTATCCTGTCTAGCAGAACAACAGTCAGTGTGTGTTTGCAAGTGAAGATAAGGATGTAAGATGGTGATGTAAACTCCTTT